CGGCGACGGCGCACTTCCTGGGACGGCGGGGGGCCCGGGGTGCTGTGCGGTGGTCCCCCGCGCCGGGGCTCTGCCCGCTGGACCCCGACCCGCGGCGAGCACCCCGCTGTGACCCCGGGGCCGGGGCTCTGCACGGAGTGCTTGTATTTTGAAAGGCTCGAGAGGGCGGAGGTGGACGTGGTCCCGCGGCTTCCCCCGCGGCCCGTTTCGTGGCCGACACCGCCCCGGGTAACCTTGGGACCGGGGCCTGCAGGGGCGCACGGAACCCCACCCCTCCCGTGCACCCCGGGATCCTCGCGGGTCCCGAGCACCCCCTCCCGTGCACCCCAGGATTCGAGCGTGCACCCCCGCGTGCACCCCTCCTGTGCTCCCCGGGATCTTCACAGGACCCGAACACACCCCTCCCGAGCGCGCCCCTCCTGTGCTCCCCGGGATCCTCGCGGGTCCCGAGCACGCCCTCCCGTGCGCCCCGGGGTCCGAGCTCGCCCTTCGATGCGTCCCTCCCGTGCACCCCAGGATCCGAGCGTGCACCCTTCCCGTGCACCCGGGATTCGAGCGTGCAGCCCCGCGTGCACCTCTCCTGTGCACCCCGGGATCCTCACGGGTCCCGAGCACCCCCTCCCGTGCACCCCGAGATCTTCGCGGGTCCCGCGCTCTTCCTTCCTCTGCTGCGGCTCGGTGAGAGGTGGCAGGCAGGTTCCTTTCCCGTGCTGGAACCTACCCCCGCTTGCTTTCTGGCGTTGGCTGCGGTCCCCACTGGGGCCTGCGCCTTCCCTCCCTCTGTTGATGTTTCCGCTGCTCCCCGTCTTTCCTGCCCCTTCCTGCTCGAGAGTTGTTTATGGACAGGCCCTGCCTCGTGGTCTCCCTGCTGCTGCTAACTTGGCAGGCCTGTCTAGGGTCTGGAGGAAAGTTGATCCCAGGACAGGGAGGGGGTGGGCGGGAAGAGCTCTTGATTGTCCTGCAAGTGGGGGGTGGAGAAGGCAGCGTGCAGCCCTTGAGGTGCAGGCACACCTCCTACCATTGCACCTTGCAGGGTGTGACCGAGGACGCCTTTTCCCCGGCACTGCTAGCTCACTGGCCCTCTGTGCCACAGCTCGGCAGCCCTGGCAGTATCTCCCACTTCATAGTCACGGAGAGTGTACCTGTGCTGACAGAACTTGTTCCTGTGCTAGGAAACCAGAAAGCCCCAGTCCTTGTGGTGATCTGGCCCACCTCTCGATGTGTCTGAGGGGCATTAAAGGAAGGACTAATCAAGGTCCTGGGAAGGAAGCAGGATTGCAGGGGACAGAGAGGCCTGGAGTCAAGGGAAGGGTGTCCACTGAGAGGATGCTGCGGTAGGTGGGGCAGCTCTGCACCAGCCACACCCACTGCACCTGTCACCATGGCTGGAGCATCACCTGTGTGCACCAGTTTACAGGGACTGGCAGTCTTCCTGGTTTGGTATGTCTCGAGGTAGTTCTTACAGGACTGTGTGGCTGTTGGAAGATTTTACTAAAGGTTTAGCACAAAGGAGTTAAGAGGAAAACCAGAATAAGTTTAGAATGGCCTTTCGGGCCCCTGTCTGTTCACTCAGAGTTTGCTAATGGCTTTCTGTCCAGGCCACGTTACCTGCAGAGCCCTCCTCCTGTCTGACCGCCCCAGACCCCGCTTTCCTGGCCTCTGCTCTCGAATCTCTTACCCAGAGCAGACTGATGCTAAGGTGTGATGCTAAGATGCAATCATCACCGCACCCCGTTGTTACATTTATGAAACCAGGATGTGGTTTCGAGCCCTCTGACATGTCGTAAACAGAAGCTTCAACACAGCCGTTTTCAGTGTCATGGACCCTCGCTGTCACTGCGGCCAGCAGACTGGTAGGCTCAGGCCTGAGTGGTGGGGGGAGTTCTGACAGCTCACCAGGCCAATGCTAGAACTAAGGAATCCTTGCGGTTACGGCAACCCTGGTACCCAGAGTACCAGATAACGCAGCTTTGACTGCGTGGCCGCTTGCAGTACCCGACTCTGCTCTTCACTAGGATTTAGTGTGTGACTTTGGCCTGCGGCCACTTGTCCAGTTCTTCCAGGATTCTGAGCCCACGTGTGTCGTGTGATAATCGTTACAGTAATGTGAAATTTTTAAAAATCACAGGGGAAAAAAGTTTTAATTAGTGTAACTTGACTAGAGAGAGTGCAAGCACGTGTGTCCGTCAGCCTGTCTGGTTTGCAGTTTCCCCACGGTGCTGACATTTTATCACGGTCACTTCCAGCAGCCCGGGTAAGCGATGTGACATGTTGACATAGGATTCTCTGAATTGCCCTGTGTCAGGCAGATAGCCCTTCTCATCGCTGTGTGTATGAGAGGGCGCTTACGTGTGGAGTGTGTGTTCTCCCGTGGGGTCAGTCCATCCGTTCCTGTCGGGAGAGGGGCCCGGCCAAGCACCCATCTCCCGGCTCTGCCCGTCAGCCCTGTGCGCTCAGTGCGGCTGTGCAGCCCGTCTTCTGCAGAGTCCCTAGGAAACGTCCACTCCTGGCTGTCACGTGGCCTGTGCCTCCCCGGCCCCCCACGGCCTGACTGTCCCCCTTCCTGGGCAGGTTGCCGTCCATGTGCGGTATGCACCCCGACCACCAGGAAGCCCTCAAGAGGAACCGTGTGGCGCTGGCCAAGCAGCTGCTGCTGAGTGAGCTGCTGGAGCACCTGCTGGAACAGGACATCATCACCTTGGAGATGCGGGAGCTCGTCCAGGTGCGGGGCAGCGGCCAGCGGGCCCGTGGGGGATGGATGGGAGATGTGGGAGCTCGTCCAGGTTCGGGGCAGCGGCCAGCGGGCCCGTGGGGGATGGACGGGAGTCGGGCTTTAGGCCCCAGATGGCAGCACTGACCCGCGTGCTTTCTCCTCACATCCCAGGCCCGGGTGGGCAGCTTCAACCAGAATGTGGAGCTCCTCAACCTCCTGCCGAAACGGGGTCCGCGGGCCTTTGAGGCCTTCTGTGCTGCCCTGCGGGAGACCAAGCAGGCCCACCTGGAGGACCTGCTGCTGGACACACTCTCTGGGCTCCAGCACGGTCCCCCTCCGGTAGGGAGCCGGGAGCGGGGAGGCTCAGGGGTGAGGGGTCGCACGTGGAGCCGGGAGGCGAGGTGGATCCCCCTTGTTGGCACTGGTCTCTTCCAGCTGAGCTGTGACTATGACGTGAGGCTGCCGCTGCCTGTGTGTGAATCCTGCCCCCCGCCCAAGCAGCTCCGCCTGACCACAGGTGAGGGTCCCGGGGCCTTCCTGGCCCAGCTTCTCCATCTGTGGCCCTTTGGGTGCCTTAGGTTCTGGCAGGCAGACTGGGACATGGATGGACCCGTGTTCTTACGTAAGCTGAGGTGTCCGATGGGCTCCAGAGCAGGGTCAATAGGGTGATGGCCGGCCCGTGGAGCTGTGGAGATGGGGTGCTGAGTGGGGCCTGAAGCAGTGTGCACAGGGGAACACCTGGGCCCTGTATTCGTGGGCCATAAAACTGTGTAGATGGGGTGACAGCTGGGCCCGAGAGCACTGCAGACAGGGCGAGGGCTGCACCCCTGATGGTCTGAGTGGTTGAGGGCACGGAGTAGACTTCGCTTTGGCCTCTAGACCGCTGGTTAGGGAGCCTGCTGATGAGACCTCGGCTTGTCGGACACCTGTTGTACAGTCCTGCGGTGACCGCCTGCTGTGTGCGGGGCACGTGTAGAGGATGCAGTGGGTGTGAGAGAGACGGGCTTGCTGTGCAGGCCTTCCAGGTGTGCGTGGGGCTCATAGTGATCAGAACCCAGCTCCCAGGGCCAGTAGCAGTGCTGCCCTCAGGACCTGGTGCTCCGCCTTGACCTAACCGTGGGCTCTGTCCTGCAGACACTGAGGAGCACTCTCTGGACAGTGGTGACGGCCCACCCCTCCTGCAGGTGACACCATGCACACCCGAGTTCTACCAGACCCACTGCCAGCTGGTGAGTCCACGGGCACTGTCGCTGAGCCTGGGCCAAGTTGGCCTGGTGGTCCAGTCCCTCCTGCTCCCTGTCAGTAATCCCTGGTGGGGCCCTGAAGGCGAGTGCGGCCTCTCTGCTTCCCTGATGTTTTTGTCTGATGGGCCTGGCCTCGGTCCTCAGGATCACGGTCTTGTCCTCCCTCTCCAGGCCTACAGGATGCAGGCGCGGACCCGCGGGCTGGCCCTGGTTCTGAGCAACGTGCACTTCACGGGAGAGAAGGACCTGGAGTTCCGCTCAGGTGGCCAGGTGGACCACAGCACTCTGGTTACCCTCTTCAAGCTGCTGGGCTACAGTGTGCATGTGCTCCATGACCAGACGGCACAGGTACGGGCCAGAGCCACCACCTGCTCACCTGGGGGGTTGGCGGAGGCGCCTGCTCCCCTCAGTGTGCTCACTCTTTCCTGGGGCCACTCTGCAGCTAACGGAACAGCCCAGGCAAGCCCTCTGCCTCAGTGCTGCTGCCTCGTGGAGCAGCCAGGTCAGGGCTAGGTATGCATGTGAGCAGGGTGGGCGGGCAGGGGGTGTCACGACCGGTGCTCATCCCCTCAGAGCAGGTCCCCTGTCTCAGGACCACACACCCCGGAGCAGGTCCCCTGTCTCTGGACCACACACCCCGGAGCAGGTCCCCTGTCTCAGGACCACACACCCCGGAGCAGGTCCCCTGTCTCAGGACCACACACCCCGGAGCAGGTCCCCTGTCTCAGGACCACACACCCCGGAGCTGGTCCCGTCTCAGGACCACACACCCCGGAGCAGGTCCCCTGTCTCAGGACCAGATAGGCTTCTCTCCTTGGCCTGCACTGCTCTTAGGAGTCAGGTGCCTTTGGCAGAGAGTGGTCTAGCAGAAGGGACTACAGGTGTACGTGTCGATCTGTGACTGGCTTGTACATCACAGTCATGGCTCAGGGTGTTGATATCTGGAGGAGAGGCCCGCAGACCAGTCTCTTTACCAGGAGTGAGTCCTCGTTCACCACCACTGTGCTCACGCTGCCTTGTTACCTTGGACCTGTACCAAACTCCATGCTAGCCCACGGGCAGCTTTAATATTTGCTGACTTTGATTCCAGAATGACATACGTCACTGACCCTGCCTAGAGGGTCAGCTGTGCCCTGTTGACGTGGGAGCGTGGTCTGCGTGGGATGTCTCTTTCTGTGTATGGTGCCCTGCAGGCCTTCTTGCCTGTCCGCCGTGGGGTGACAAGCTTGCTGGCTCCCTGAGTCAGGCGTTCATGTTGACAGCTCCCTGCAGGGATCCGTGTACGTAGCAAACCCTCCCGGCTTCAGAGCCAGGACAGGATCAGCCACCTCACCGTCCTTCTCTCAGGTGGATGGGCACGTTCCTGCTCAGGTGGGAATACATGTTGCCGTTGGGTGCCGTGAACACAGCTCCAACTCACTTTGAGGTCGACAGCTGGCCACTTCACCTCCTTAAGGGTCGAGCATGTGGAGGGGGTGCTCCGGGGGCTCAGAAGATGCACCCGTTCCCTGGAGGCTCTGCTGCAGCTGGTCCTTGACCTGGAGCTCTGTGGCTGTGGTCCTCAGAGCAGTGCTTCCTTACTGAAGGCCTCTTCACCCCTGCTAGTCAGAGGTGGCACTGATCCACCAGCAGTATGCTCTGGGACAGCCAGTAGTGCCCACTCAGGTGCCCACCTGGGGATGCTGGTGGTGTGTGGTCCTGGCACAGTCGAGGCTCCTGAAGGGGTCGTGACCCGAGTTCCTGGGACACCTGTTAGGTCAGGGGTGCTGACCCCAGCAGACAGGAAGTGTGCCCCCACCTTTATGTTCAAAGGGGCAGGAAATGGAAGGCAGTGCTGGTCAGAGGAGAGGCGGCCTAGACGAGTGGGACTTGGGGCTGGATGGGTGGACGACGCTGCTTCGGGAACAGCTGGGCAGCGTGTGGACAAGCTGTGCGCTGTGAAGGTGCCCAGGCGCTGTGGGCAGGGGGTTGCACAGCATGAGCAGAGGAGGTGCGTGTACAGTGCTGCCTGGGGACCGTCGGACACGGCAGGAGTCCAGTGAGAGGACAGGCTGCCTGGATGGGGGCTGGGCGTGAGGCCCGGACATGGCGTAGGCCTGGAGCGAGGTGGGTACCTCAGTGAGGACACAGACGTGACACGGGCCACAGGGAAACAGCGGCGCACTTAGAAGTACTAGGAACTCGCTTTAGGGAGCAGGGCGGGCGTGTTCTCGGGGAGGATGAGGCGCCCCCGGAAGAGGCTCAGACTTGGATTGGGGACCCAGCCTCCCACCCTCATCCTCAGGTGAGGGGTCCACACCATCGGTTCCCCCGACAGCCGAGCGGGTGGTGGGGCAGGCAGGTGGGATTGGGTCTGTGGGCGGTGCGCAGGACACTCTGCCCACTGTTCTGCTGGGTCGTAGCATCCCGTCCCTCGTGGTGGACTCCCGGGCCGACTCGGAGCTGCTCCCGTCCCTCCTGCCCGGCCGTGTGGCTGTGGAGCTCGCTCAGCTGCAGGCAGCAGGCAGTGAGGGGCTTAGCGCCCGTGGCTTCACTGTCCCCTCACTGCCCAGGCGACACCCTGTCGTCACCGTCACAGGCTTGCCAGGCAGCAGTGAGTTCTGGACCCACGCTTCCTCGTGTGGGCGTTCTGGAAGCCTCGTCCACAGGCAGGTGTGCTACAGCCCACAGACCGTGCTTCTCCTGGGGCTCAAACAGCCAGGGGCTCCCAGGGAGAAAGATGGGCCCTGTCTGCTTCCTGCTTTTCTGGGTCTCGTGAGGCGTCCCCGTCTGGCAGGGAGCAGTTCATGGTGTTTCATGCTCTCTGTTGGTGGAAGTGTGCCTCCTCCCTGTGCCAGCTTCTGCCCTACTCGGCTTCCGGCTTTCGCAGGTTTTATGTTGTGGATACCCCACTGGTGCCCTGGGGTGCGGGTTTTGCCCAGAGTCTGGATCCCACCCTGTGCAGGGAATGCACGAGCCAGCTGAGTCACCCAGGGTGTCTGCACGCTGTCTCCGAGGGCTCAGGTACTGTCCTGTGTCCCCAGCCAACCGCACACGTCAGCTGCTATTTTTAGAGCCCTGTCGTTTGAGCAGGCGGGTCTTCTCATCTTGTTCGAGGCTCTGCTACTCTGGGGACAGTTCCCCAAGTTGACTTAAGCCTCCGTTAATTGTTGGAGTCCTACAGATTCATCTACACAGTGTGTACTGGGGTGTCAGTGCCAGCCTGCGAGGCCCCCAGGTACCAGACAGACAGACCTGCCACATCCCGGCACAAAGTCAGCCCTCGGGCACTGGGTCACCATCTCCCAGCCGCGCCACATGGCCCTTCACGGACAGGTGTTTCCTAAAACGACGCTTTCTCAAGTCATTAATACCTTCATTACCCTAATGTGACTCTTCCTGTTTGTTCAGAAGACATGTGGTGAGGCTGGTTTTGCCCTTTCCAGCCCCGTGGTAGAGTTCAGGTCTTCCACGTCCTGCCTTGCTGATATGGGCGGGGGTGGGGGGAGCACACAACAACAGCCCCATCTTCTCCTTTAACGTCACTCATGGTTTCCCACCCTGAGAAGTGACACTGGGTTGGAGGTGCTACCCAGAAGGTCAGCAGTTTGAACTCATCCACCACTCAGTGGAGGAAAATGAGGCCTTCTGCTGCCGTGAGGGGATGACCTCGGGAAGCCTCTGCAGCAGGAGCACTCCCAGGTGGGAGTCTCCCCCCAAAGGGAGAGCCCTTCAAGGCAGCCCTTCTCTGTCCTCAGACCGTGAGATGGTCAACGCACCGGCACTGGGTTTGGTTTCTGTTGGGGTTTTTCTTTTGTTTCTGTTGGTTTTGAAGCAGTTGAGCCAGACCTTGCCGACTGCCACCTTCTCGGGCCACTTGTGCGGCTTTCTGGTCACTGACAAGGCGTCGGATCTTCCCTTACGTACAGAAGGCTAGGTAAGACTCTTGTGCACCTGCCAGGACTGACCTTAACCGGACATAGACACGGGCAGTCCCACTCGTAGCCCTCAGAGCTCAGCAGCAGTGACACAGTTCCTCACAGGCTGGGCACTTCCAGGAAGCTCCCTGCAATGTGGGCCAGGGGTCCCAGATGGCACCTGTACTTCCCAGAGGTGTCCAGGTGCCACCGAGGAATCCTGCATTGTGGGAGGCATTTATTCCAGGGATGTAGTAAAACCAATGTCAGATGGATCTTGACAGAAAGCAAAGAGTCCTGGAGGAATATCTGTGTTTTCATTGACTATGCAAAGGCATTTGACTGTGTGGATCATAACAAATTGGCTAACCTTGAGGAGAATGGGAATCCCAGAACAATTGATTGTACTCATGCAAAACCTATACTTGGACTAGGAAGCAGTTGTGAGCATAGAGCAGGGAAACTTCAGTGCCTGGTTTAGATGCCTTCTGTGTCCACACGTTTTCAGTCTGTATGAAGAACGGATCATTCGGGAAACCTGGCTTTATGAGGAGTGTGGCATCAGGAATGGAGGAAGACTCGTCAACAATCTGCCTTATGCAGATGACACAACCTTGCTTGTTGAAACTGAGCAGGACCTAAAGTGCTTGCTGCAGAAGGTCAAGGACTGTAGTCTTCAATCTGGATTGAAGCTCAACATCAAGAAAACAAAGATCTCACCACTGGACCAATTGGCAGCACCATGATGGATGGAGAAGAGACTGAGGTTGTTAATAATTACAGCTTTCTTGGCTGCACAATCAGCACTCTTGGCATCAGCAGTCAAGAAATCAAAAGATTGCTTGCATTGGGAAAATTGGCTGTCATGACCTCTTCAGAGTCTGAGAAGCAATAATAACAGTGTAGAGACAAAAGTGCACCCAATCCAGGACATGGTCTTTGCAGTTACTTCCTTTGCATCAGAGAGCTGGACAGTGACTAAGGCTGACACAGAGGAGAATTGATGCCTCTGAGTTGTGCTGGAGAAGAGTCTTAAATAGAACATGGACTGCCAAGAAAGCCAACAGGTCTGCCTTGGAGAAGGACATCATTCTTGGAAGGGTGGAGGGACAGCACAGGAGAGGAAGACCTCGGATGAGATGGAGTAACAACAGCAGTTGAAGAGTGCTCTGGGGAGGAAGGCCGGCAAAGCGTTGTCACATACTTTGGACATGTGCGATGAGAGGTTAGTCCTTGGAAAGGGATAGCACATTTGGAAAGGTGGAGAGTCAGTGAAAGGAAAACCTCAGTGAGCTGGATTGACGCAGGCACAGCAGCAATGGTCTCGAGTGTGCCAGGAGGTGAGGGCGGCACAGGCTAGGACCCGGTTCAGGTCCACTCTTCACAGGGCCGCCGTGAGTTGTACTTGACGGTTCCAGCGACAGGAAGCTAGGTATGTGGATGCCGCCTGGCCCAAACTCGTGCCGTGTGCTGCTCCTTCAGAATGGCTGGGTGGCCACTTTGTGCCAGTGAGCTGCGTCTGGCATCCACAGACCGCAGCAGAGGGACGTTCGACTCTTGTGTGGCAGCTTCGCGCCAGGCGAGCAGGAGTCTTGGGCAGGACTCAGGTGGCTGCTTTGATAAAAAGGCAGTGGTGGTGTGAGCCTTTGTCGGGCGTACCTGTGAGGATGGCCCCGAAGGCCCAGACCCCTGCCCCTGACGTGTTCTTAACTCGTGGCAACGCCCCGCTGGGCTCCACAACTCCATTATGAGGGAGGAGACTGCCTGTAACCTGTCCTCGGACCGGCCGGTGGACTTGAACTGCCGACTTCCGTGTGTTAGCAGCCCTCTACAGCGTGCTGCGCCATGGGGGCTCTGATGATGGTGGAGGTGCACAATGCTGAGTCCTCCACATGCTTTGTCTCTTCACATCTCCACTGCCAGAGGGCCCAGCACTCAGTCCAGTCAGGTGACGGGACTGCAGGCTTGGGGGCCACTGTGTTCCGACATGAGTCAGGAGTCCAGCTTGCCTGCCCCCGCCTTCTTCATCCATCTGTGCCCATGTCCAGGACACCCCCTCAGGAAAGAGCAGGTCTCCGCCCGTGCCCACCCTCCGAGGCTCTGGGGCCTGGCCAGGGTGCCAACCGTCTGTCTCATGCCCCTGAGGTTGCTGGGGGGCAGGGGATCAGGCACAGCTCTGAAGTCAAGTGCACCCCCAGGTCTCAGGGTGCCTGGGTTCTGACCCTGTTCCCTGGGTATTGTCCTTGAGAAGCTACAACTTGGTTTAGTCTGACTGCTTTCATAATTAGCCTTGTACCCAGCAGACCCACCTCGGGGAGCCTCTCGCATTGGTGCTGATGGTGGCGAGTGCCCAGTGGTGGCAGCTCAGGACAGTGGGCGTTGGTGCTCCCAGCTGTGAGCACTGAGGCATGCTTCCCTTTCAGGAGATGCAGGAGAAGCTGCAGGACTTCGCCCAGCTGCCTGCCCACCGCCTCACCGACTCCTGCGTGGTGGCACTGCTCTCTCACGGTGTCGAGGGTGCCATCTACGGGGTGGACGGCAAACTGCTGCAGGTGCGTGTCTGCTGGCCAAGCCTGGCCCCGCCTGCCACTCTCCTCAGCTCTCCTGACTGGCCCTGACCCCTGGCCCACCCTGCCTGCCTGACCACCTGCTCTGCCGTCTGTCCCCAACCCGTTTGTCTGTCTTCCTTGGCAGCTGCAGGAGGTCTTCCGGCTCTTTGACAACGCCAACTGCCCCAGCCTGCAGAACAAGCCCAAGATGTTCTTTGTGCAGGCCTGCCGTGGAGGTGAGTGCCGGCCAGCAGCCAGCTCGGGGAGGCGGCTCCCGCGCCCCGCCCGCTCTCACTGTCCTGTTTGCTCCTCTCAGGTGCTAGCGGACCCTTTGGGCACCTCCTTCTGTTCCCTGCTGCCACCACCTCTCTTGCTCTGTAAGTGTCTCCGACGCATGTGGGCTGCGGGCCCCCCAGCTCTGGCCCGGCACCCCGCAGCATCTCTGCCGTCTTCGCTGTGCTGTGCTCTTCATCTCCGACTGGCCTGTGTCGGCTTGCCCTCTGCCCTCTGGCCTGGCCCTTCCTCTGTCCTCTCTTGCTCTCCGCCCCTTTCACGCTGTCTCCACCTTTCACATCCCTTTTCTTGCGCTCTCCGCCCCTTCCTGCTCCCATCTCCGCTCCACGTGCCCCTGTCCCTCTGTCACCTGCAAGGAGACACACCTGACAGTGTGAGCTGGCTCTCGAGGGCCTCGCTGCAGGGAGTTACATCAGTGGTGTGAGCTGGTCCTTCCAGGCTGTGCAGCCGTGGAGGCACACCCAGTGTTGTGCACTGGCCCTCCCGGGCTCTACTTCAGGGAGCTGTTTCCAGCATTGTGCACTGGCCGTCCTGGAGTGTGTGTCCTGCCACTGGGCCAGGCAGTCATGGATCTTGTCCTGTGTTACACTTTAGGTCACTGTGAACTGTGGGTCACAGGAATGTCTGCTGCCCTTCAGCCTTAGCTCGTGTGAGGTTAGGTGGCTCGTGTGAGCTTAGGTGGCTTGTGTGAGAGGTGGCTCAGATGGCTGGTGGCTTGAGAACAGAAGGCTGTGATAGCCACTCGTCTCGCAGGTCTGTGGTCTGTGTCCAGCGGCTCGTGCCCGTTTCAGGTGGCTGGCGTGTGGTGGTCCTGCGCAGTACGTCATAGCTTTCCCTGACGGTGCTGCACACCCAGCACGTGAGCGTGACAGCCTCGCGTCATCACGGCTGTTGGGCTGCGAGCTGCCTGGGGCCTGCCTTTGTGGTGGTCGGGAGCCATTGCACGCCCTCCCGTCCCCAAGTCACGTGTGGTGGTGCACCGGGACCGACAGGGAGCTCCGGGGTGCAGGGCGCTCACACAGGCCCACCGCACCGCCCCGACACGTGGTGACCCTGCAGCCGAGCAGCTGTCATCCGGTGGGACCACTGCCCAGAGTGCTTGTCACAGGCATTTCCACCACCGGAATGATTGTCTTCTGTTCAGTGGGTGCTCGGAAAAACATCAGTGGCTAATAAGACTGCCATGTCCTGCCAAGGCCTCCACAGGTCGTCACGGCACACCAGTTACTGGGATCCAGCCCCAGGGCCGAGGCCGCAGGCGCTTGGATGTAGGAACCAGGCCTATGCTGGTCACCGAGGGGTACGAGCTGAAGGGCCAGTGCCAGCACCACCTCAGAGATGGTGGCCACCATGCCTGCACTAAACCCTTGTTGGCACTGAGTCAAGGTCGTGACTTCCGGTGCTAGTGCAGGGGCCACTTTTGATTTGCTAGTTTGTTTTTCCTGCTCTCTAATAAACGGTGTTTATTATGTGCTATGACCAGGAGTGTTCTGTGCTGTGCCCTCCCTCCCTGGGCACCGTGGGAAGGCCTGGCCTCTGTCTCTCTGTGTGCCTCAGACTTGTCTGGGGTGCACTCACGTGGAGGCACAGACTCGGTGTACACATGTACGTGTGTGGATGGGTGTGTGTTCATCTCTGCCCTGCACTCATGCAAGCACAGGCTGCCTGTGTTTGTGCGTACCTGCATGCATGCATTTGTGTGGGTGTGTTTATCTCTGCCCTGCACTCATGTGCAAGCACAGGCGGGGTGTGTGTGTGTGTGTGTGTGCCTGCGTGCATGCATTTGTGTGTGGATGTGTGTTTATCTCTGCCCTGCACTCGTGCACGCACGGGTGGGCTGTATATGCATGCGTGTGTGTGGGTGTGTTTATCTCTGTCCTATGCTCGTGCAAGCACGAGTGGGCTCTGTTCGTGCGCGTGTTTATCTGCTCTGTGCTCATGTGCAAGCTCGGGTGGGCTGGGTGTGTGCTGGGCATCACTTGGGTTCTACTCAAGACTCAGAAGTACAGTGTGTGCAGTGACCTCCATCCACTGGCTGTGGGCGGCAGGCAGCAGCGGGATGTGGCTCTTCCCACCTGGTCCATCGGGAAGCCCGGACCTGCTAAGGCCCAGGAGGGGCTGGAAGTGACCTCCTCCTCTGTTCTGTCTGTTCTGCAGATGAGACTGACCGAGGGGTCGACCAGCAGGATGGGAAGAGTCAGGCCCAGTCCCCCAGCAGTGAGGAGAGTGGCACTGGCACAGGGGGGCTGCTGAAGACGCGGCTGCCCACCCGCTCGGACATGATCTGCGGCTACGCCTGTCTGCGAGGTACTGGGGGCGGGGAGACATGGGGCAGGGCCGGCATGAGGGGTGAGGCGGGCCGTTCTGACAGGCGGTAGGGGAGCACCCGTCGACCTCACTGACTGACCCCGCGCCGCACAGGCACGGCCGCCATGCGGAACACCAAGCGGGGCTCCTGGTACATCGAGGCGCTGGCCCGCGTCTTCTCTGAGCGGGCCTGTGACATGCACGTGGCTGACATGCTGGTGGAGGTGAGTCATGTGCCCAACCACCCTCCCTGACCCCCCGCCCTCAGCCCTGCCCTGACCTGCGCCGGCCGGCTGCCCCTCCAGGTAAACGCACGCATCAAGGAGCGGGAGGGCTATGCGCCCGGCACCGAGTTCCACCGCTGCAAGGAGATGTCCGAGTACTGCAGCACGCTCTGTCGCCGCCTCTATCTGTTCCCTGGACATGCTGCCCACTGTGGGCATGCCGCCACATGACCACGCCATGGGTGTAACGTCCACTGTGGACTCAACCACCACGTGGCCACACATGGGTATAACGTTCACTGTGGGCATGCCTCCACGTGGCCACACCATGGGTGGAATGTCCACTGCCGGACATGCTGCCATGTGACCACACTACACTTGGGCCCCAGCATGTGGCCACACCACGGGTGGACCCATCCAGAAACTTTTGCATTGTACCATCTCCAAGGACTTTTCCACTGAGGCTCTGCCCATGAGATGACACGTCAGACCTTCCGTCTTGGCCCTGGGTCTTCCTCGCTGAGAACTGCCTCACGTGACCCAACCACAGAACCACCTCAGGACCTCCCCTCTGAGGACCCCACGTGGTGGCCTGGTGACCCCAGAGTGTGCTGCTGCATCCCAGGCCGCACCTCTGCCTGTTCCTGGATGTCGCCAGGAGATCGCCCGGGATGCCATCAGCAGACACTCTGGGAGGTGTGGCAGTCTCCTTCCCATCTGGATCATGGGGTGTGCTTCAGTCAGCCCCCCACATGTGACTCGTCGGGGGGTGGGGGTGCACCCATTGCGCCCCTTCTCAGTGGCAGCGCGGAGGTCTCCTGTCTCGCAGTCTCTGTCTTCCTTGTGTCACAAGAAGCATCTTGTGTCCAGAGGCGCCCAGCCTGGTCCTGAAACCATGCAGGGCATGGCTGTGTGTGGGGCTTTTCAGAACTGAGGCACCAGACACGAGAACACCCAGTCCTTGGGTTCTGCCCTGTCCCTGTCCCCCCATGAGCCCGAGGGGAGCAGCAGGAGTGACAGGGCAGAGCCCTTCCCCTCCCCCGTCTCTTCATTTACCACCGAGTCCCAGCTTCAGGGTGTGGCCAGACCATGCCACCCTGTGCCAGGCATCCGCTCTGATTCAACTTCCTCCAGTCACTTCTCCATTCCACCAGGAGCGGCCCAGAGCCACCCCCTCTGCCGTTGTGGGTTCTGGCACCTGGGAGATTGCCCCACTATGGTGCTGTGGACACTGTGTCAGTTCAACTGCCAGCATTATAGAAACTGAGTATGTGCCACCTGGGAGCGGCCAGGTGCCACCCCGGAGCAGGCAGGCCATGCACTTAACTCCCCCCCCAGACACTGCCTGCTGTTGTTGGGACTGCCGTGTGGGGCACCAGTCTCTGCTGGTCAGTTTTCCACCTTGTTTGTTCCGTACATTTAAAAGCCACGTGCCACTCCCGTGTTTGGAACCTTGTGGCTTCCCGTGGAGTCCTCGACGTGGTCCAGACCCTCGCCTGGTTCCTGGAGGCTCAGCTTCAGTGTAGCTCCTCTGCAGGCAGGACCTTGCCGCTCCGCGCGGGCATCTCTGCCCTCTGAGTCTCTGTCAGCACCTCTCCTTGATGCGGGGTCCATCTCTGTCCTCTGAGCCTTGGGTCAGCACCTCGTTGGTGCTGGGCAGCATTGCTGTCCTTCGAGTCGGCGTTGTCAGGCTGCCTCAGTGGCCCGCGTGTACACTTGCCCATCAGGCAGTCTCCTGCCACACGCTCCGTCCCACTGATGGTGGTGACATGTTTGTTTGTTCTGTCCTCCCTGCTAGGTTGTAAGCTCCCAGGAAGGAGGCCAGCAAGCTGGACCCTTGCTGGACCCTGCTTGCTGATCCGTGTCCGTTTGCACTTACGCACAGTTGATTGTTTATGCTCTATTTTTCTACTCACCTGATTCAGTGGTTCCGGCTCCTTGAAAACAGTGCAGCCTGTTTATTGCCCGTTGGGGCCTGGCTGCAGGCAGCCTGCCAGCACTAGCGTCCCCCAGTCCTGCCCGAGGGCCGGCTTCTACTGCTGCCCAGCCCGGCAGAGGCGAGGACACAGCCTGCTCACTGCCAGGGCTCTCTTACTGTTGGTGCCAAATAAAAGTTTTTTTACTGCGGTGAGCTGTGTCTGCTGCAGCCTCCTGGTCTACACAGGTGTCAGGGTGAGGGTCCATTGTGCTGAACATGTGGGATTTGAGTTGCTGGCTTGGGCTCTGGGGTCATCAGATATGGGGGTGGTGGGTGTAGAGAGAGTAGGCTGTGCCTCACCTGTCCAAGCTGAGCTCAGCCCCAGGGGGTGGGATGGGGGACCTGAGCAGTGGACCACCACGAGGGAACTACGATTCCTGTGGGACAGGAGATGTCAAGGACAGGTTGGGGTCATTGGAGAGCAGGAGTTCTGAGAGTGGCCCTGGACACACAGGAAATGGGGCATCTGATGGGCACAGTGTGGTCCAGGACAGGAGCTGGGGGTTCTGAGGGGCATACTGTGTACCTTGGTAGAGACATGGGGCTTCCTCAGGAGAGGGAGTTACTAAGTGCTCCGAGTCGAGTACAGACAGGAACCCTGCACCACCGTCATCTGACACGGGAACCCATCGCAGCAATCTCCGTCAGTCCACCTCGAGGGCCTTCCTCTCCTTTGCTGACCCTCCTCTTGCTGTCTTCAGTCATGATGCTCCTTTCCAGGTAATCCTTACCCAGTTTATGAGAGATGAGCCTTCTCCATCTTTGCCTCTGAGGAGCAGTCTGGCTGCACTGTCTGTCCCTTTGGCGGTCTGTGGGATACTCAGTACTCCAGCAACAACTCAGGCACGATTCTTGTCATCGTTGTCTGGCTCTGATACATAGCAGGTGATTGATAAGGCCACGCCCTGAATCAAGTGCACCTAAATCTTTAAACTGACAGCATTGCTCTGAAGTATTTTTGAGAGGTGCCTGATAGCCGACTTGCCCAATACAGTATGTCTCCTGATTTCCTGACTGCTGATGGATTGATCCAAGCAAGGTAAAATAATGGACAACTTTAATCTTACTCTGTCATGTTGACTAATAATTCTGTGATGAGATCCTTTGTTTTATTGAGGTTGAGATACAATCTAGATTGCAGGCTGTAGTTTAAGTTCCCAGGAATCAAGGGAGTATCAGTTAACATGCAGCCCTGGATGTGCTCACCAGTGGAGGCCTAGCAATTTGGACAGCTGCCTGATGGTCGACTAGAAGAGATCAATGTTTGTTCTCATTCCCAAGAAAGGTGACCCAACAGAATGGAAATGAGAGACCAGTATCATTAAAAGCACGGACAGACAAATCCTGTTCAAGATCATCCAAAACTGCTACAACATTGCCAAGGAACAGCCAGAAGTTAAAGTGGGGTTTAGAAGAGGCTGTGGCCCAAGGGAGATCAGGGCTGCTGTCCGCTGGTAGAGAGCAGGAAATTCCAGGAGAATGGCTACTTGTGTCTTACTGATTACACAAGGCATTTGTGTGAATTGTAACAAATTATGAATAACATGGAGAAGAATGAATCTCAACACTTAAAACTGTGTTTATGTGAAACCTATACCTAGACCACGAAACGGTTGTACAAACAGCGGAGAACACTGCACGGTTTAAAATCAGGGAAGGCCAGCAAAACCTAGATTTAAATCAAGAAGCTGTCCAGACGGAGCAAGGGATCGTTGCATGGCTTAAAGGGGCAAGGAATATGTCAGCATGTGCTGCGCAAAGGGCCGTCAGAGTCTGAGGAAGACTCACTGACCTGTGTGACCCAGAGAACATGACTAGGAGGAGGGTGCACACGGCTGCAGAAGGGCAGTGGTCCTGAAAGCGGGACGGCGGCGGGGACACTGGGTGGCCGTGCAGGCAGGCGCCCAGGGCAGGAGAGCATTGTCAGTAGGTGTGGTGGCCCCACACCCCCATCCACGTGGAGGTGGCCTCTCCTGCAGTCGCCTCAGGTTGGGTTTCACAACTGTCCCTCCCCCACTTCTGCCAGCAGATTCTCTTCTAAAATTATCCTCCGAGGGGTGGGGCTGCCCAGTGTCCGTCCTCCCTGCCAGTTGTGGGGGACGCAGTGTGAGACAGCAGGCTTCTGCCTGGAAAGGGGGGACCCCTGCAGCCTGAGGAGGACAGGGCTCTGAGGCCGAGTGTGATCCCGTCACAGCAGAGTTCTGCCCCAGTGGACCTGAGTCCAATGCTGCCCTGTCCTGGACAGCTGCTTAGGCCTCAGTTTCCCTCCTCCCTGAACGCTGAAGGGTCCCGTGAGACTAACCTGGTGGTGAACAGGCAGGGTGGTCCCTCTATGTCCAACCAAGGGCTGTTCGGCCACACACATTTACTAAGGGGCCCCCATGGTCTGACCCCAGGCTGCTGTCCATGTGTCCCGATGTCGTCTTCAAGCAGGAAGCTGACCTGGCCCAGTTTGCTTCTTTTTGTTCTGAGGCCCCAGGCGTTCCACCAGAGGCCGGCGAGGGGGTCAGGTGGCCAGGAGAGGGCAAGTTGCTGGGTCAGTAAAGAACGTGGCTGGCCAGCTGTTGTGGGCAGGAGGGGATCTTGGCATAAGTTGGGGGCCTGGAGGATGACTGTGAAGTGGACAAGGCCTGGCAGGAGGGGTCACATCCTCCGGTGTAACCGCACCCCCTCAGGTGAGGGGCCTGGCCGTGGGGGAGGTTCTGGGAGAGAGCAGTCTGCGCTTGGTTTGGGGTGACCACATGCTGGTCCTTCACAGCCTACATTACACGATAGTAATTGCACCGACACACTAGAACCCTTTCAGACAGACCCAAAGGACATGTGTCCTCTGTGCAGGAGGGAAGAGGGGTCCCCAGGCCAGGTGGGCACGAGCCACCCGTGGAGGGGATGGAGAGTGGGCGTCTAGCTCAGAGGCTTTGTAAGGTCCCTGGGTGCTCAGCCCAGGTGGACATCAGCCGGGGAGGTCCCAGCGTGGAGCCACCTCATGCTGTCTCCTCACTCTCCTGCAGGAGATTCTGTGTTTCCTCCTTTGAACCTTGGACGCAGATCTTTACTCTCATAACTCTGCCCTCTCACCTCGGATGTCTGCAGGTCCTCCTGCTGGACTGTGTGAGGCTCTCGGAGGCCCTGGTCTGCTGGCCTTGACCCCGGTGTCGTCAGCTGGGCCCTTCAGGATGGTGGCCGAGGTGGGGCTCTGTGGACACAGCTTTGTGTCTCCAGACTGTCAAGTCCTCACAGAGAAGCTGAGCTGACTGCAACAGTGGGGCATGCGCTTTCTGAAGCCCCAGCTGGCCTTAGGGCCCGGTGGTGTCCTGGTCCCTTGTCCTCCAGCATCCCTAGTCTCTGTGTGGGGCGGCTGTGGGCGTGTGCTGGGCAAGTTCACCCAGGTCAGGGCCGTTCAGCCTAGGGGCTGCTGTGAGCCTGGGGAGGGACGCAGAGCCACACCCTGGTCCTGCTGTCACCTGGTCTCCCCCCCACCAACGAGGATGTCCCAAGGACTCAGAGTGGCCTTGGCCCCTCGCTTATCATGCAAAACGGGAAGCAGGTACCACCTGGGGCATGCTAGCTCCCAGCGCTGCACCCCTTGTTTTGATCCAGCTGCCCTCAAGGGCCTCCCCATAAATCTGCGGGCAGCGTGGGAAGGGTGAGGAGGCCCAGGACCCAGAGCTGTGAACCACGGGTGTGACCAGGCTACCTGATGGCTGCACACACCTACAAAACACTACCGTCAGGTGGATACACTGCGTGAGGACCAGCCCTCGGGGGCCAGAGAGTCTGGTCACCAGTTAGACAGGACGTCCGTGGTGAGGACCAGCCCTCGGGGGCCAGAGAGTCTGGTCACCAGTTAGACAGGACGTCCATGGTGAGGACCAGCCCTCGGAGGCCAGAGAGTCTGGTCACCCGTTAGATGGGACGTCAGTGGTGAGGACCAGCCCAAGGTGACTGAAGAGGCCAGTCACCGGCGACACATCGTGGTGAGGACGAGCTGGTGGTGAGTGCACGAGAGCCATGGCAGAGCAGCACCGACTGCTGCCCCTGGTAAGGCCCCCCAGGCGTCGGAAACACCACCCCAACCCTCCACCCCACCCTCCTACTGGGGCAGGTGGGTGAGCAGAAATAAGGGTGTCCCTTGAACTGGCCGGGGTGGCCTCTGGTGTGGAGGCACAGTGACCAGGACTCCTCAGTGTCCTGCAGGTCCCTTCCCCACCCCCACTGCACAGCGCACACCTGCTTCGACCCCAAGCAGATCAGATGTGGCACTGGGGTCATGTGACAACAGGGGGTGCTATAAATAGCCAGAGGTGGGCATGCTGCCCCAGACGCCTTGGGGACAGGAGGAGGGCTTGAGGAGTGCCCTGGGGCAGGACAGAGCAGGCCTCGGCCTGGGGGGCATGGAGCGAAAGGGGTCACAGCTGGCAGGCAGTGAGCAGAGCTGGTGGGGCAGTGCCCCCCAGTACCAGTACATGCCCTTCGAACACTGCACCAGCTATGGCCTACCCTCTGAGAACGGGGGCCTGCAGCACAGGCTGCGGAGAGACACCGGTCCCCGCCCCAGCGCCCACCCCACACAGGTAAGGCCCAGAGACAAGGGGGCCAGGGGTCAGGGAGGAGGGGCTTCCCAAAGTCACGGCAGCCCAAGGCCATACATTCCAGATGTGCCAGGCTTCCATGTGGTTCCTGGGTGCAGGGAGCCCTCTTAATGCACAGGGATCTGGGGTGCTTCCTCAATGCACAGAGACCCTGCAGAGATACAGGTCATCCCTTAAAGTGTGAGGTGTGAGGTCCCCTTAACATGCATGGGTGCAGGTTTCCCCTTTACATGCAGGAGTGTGGTGTACTCCTTAATGCAGAGGTGCTAGGCACCCCTGTAACTGTAAAGGTGTGGGATGTCTTCTTAGTGTATGTAGACAGGTATGGGGCAGCCCTTACCTGCACCAATGTAGTGTCCTCTAACACACTTGTTGAGGACACCCCTTTAACTCACAGAAGTGTGGGGTCCCCCTAACTCAGGGATGCAGTATACCCCCCTGATAGGAAAGGGTCCATATGCTCCTTAACAAGGTGGGGGTACCTCTAATTTGGAGGTGTGGGGTGCCAGCTTAATGTGCAAAGCGGAGGAGAGTCCCCTAACATAAAGAGGTGCTGGGTGCTCCTTATCTCAGAGATGCTATGTTCCCCTTAATTTGCAAAGGTATTTAAGTTGGCACCCCCAAGTTCATAGCAATCATTCCCTTAACTCACAGATCCACAAGGCAGCCCCTTCAAGCTCAGGGATGCAAGCACTCCTGTCATCTAAGAGGTGCTGGTGCCTCTAACAATTGTGTCTCTGTGGTTCCCCCTAATCATGGGGTCCAGGGCGCCACCTTACCGTCCCCAGGTAACATGTAGGGGGGTGGCTGTCTGCTAACTCACCTGCTGGCTGACACCATGCCTGCATCCAGTCACAGTCACCCCACGGGCTGATCCCCCATGATGGTCCAACCCACCCACCCTCAGCCACACACACGGATTAACACATAGAAACACAAGGGCAAATACACACAGAATCACACACAGGCGCACACATGGGGACCCATACACAGAAACACACATAGGAACAGGGTTATACACAGGAACACAGAGGCACACAGGTTACACACCCAGACACACACGCTGAGACCCACGCAGAGGCATGGACACATATGGACCCTGAGGCTGAGGGGAGTGGACTGAGGAGGGAGAAGAGACTGGCTACGGCACAGGGACCAGGAAGACGCATGTGCTAAGAGCACACCGCGGGGAGGGCCGCCAGGCTGGGGTCACCGTCCTCCAGGTCTGGGACAGCAGAGGTGCAGAGGTGGGCGGCAGGTGTGTGGTTGTTGGGAGCAGCAGGCCAGTATGGCCACTGGACATGCAGGCAGCTGGGAGGAGGAAGCTGCCAGCGTCCAGGGTGCCAGGCTCCTTCCTCTCAGTGCTGGGGGACCTTGAGATGGGCTGGGGAAGTGGTGGGCAGGTGGCAGAGACCTGCCTTCCAGATAGGAGCCAAGTTCACATCCTGGTGGTGCTGCTCATGCTCGGCTACCACCTGTCAGAGGTCCACGACCACCTGTCAGGTTTGTGTCATGTTGCTGAGAAGCTGAGCAGCGAGGGGAACAGTGACCACACTTCTGACACCGGGGGGTGGGGGTCAAGGAGGGAAAGCATGGCATCTGCATTTAAGAATCAAGCCTTCTCAGAAAGCCTCACCGGCTTCCAGTGCGAGCTGCCTCACAGCTGGCCCACAGCGGCTTTTCAGAGGCTGTAAATCACGTGGGAGGCGCCCGTCCTCCCCCCAGAGCAGCAGGGGGGTCCCGTTCACAAGGCGCTGCTGTGCTGAGGGAGCTCAGGCGTGGTCTCTGGCTGCTGCCCTCCTGACCCAGAGGCCACACTCCTCTGACATCTGAACCTACCAGCAGCTAAGCTGGGGGAAGCTGGCCCGTCTCCTGTGTGACACACTGCCTCTGGAAACCCACGGGGGTCAACACAGCTGCCTCCAAGTGCAGATCCTGGGGTCCTTCCAGGGAGGGGCATGTCCACTGGGTGAGGAGACAGGTTTTCCAGATTCAGGATGGTGCCTTGGAGCCGTGGGGGAGTGGGGGAGTGATGTCCTCTCTGCCGCCTGGCCACATGGGCCGACAACTCTCAAAAATGCATCCTGACGTTTTCGTAGGAAATGTGGAGATTGTGGAGGGGCCTTGGCTGGGGACAGGCTGCACTGGTCCCCACTGTATCTTCAAAACATCTAAGTGTTGGTGGTTCTTGGGGGTACTCAAACTTGAGCAGAAGCAAAGAGCGTTATTCTCAAGCCTGAGGGTAGTTACCAGCTCAACAATGGTCAGTGCTGGCCAGCACCCCTCAGTCTCAGCCAGCACCCCACCTCCTGGCTCCCCTCCTCCTGCCCTGCTGGAAATCCTTCAGCCCTAAGCCAGCCAGCTCTTTGGGGGCCTGTCCCACCAGCCAGGGGTGTGCAGGGCCCCTGGTGGTGTGGCAGGAGACCAGCGTCGTTCCAGCTTCATCACACAAGGCCCGCATCATGGGCAGGGCCAGCAGGCCAGGTGGGGTGAAGTGGTGAAACCAGAGCCTCCCGAGCCAATGGCCAGCTGGCTGGTCCTGGGGGAGGTGGACCGCACACCAGGATGCCCAGTCTGTGCAGGTATACCCAGGACAGCTGGGGCTCCCCTGAGGATTAGCTGTCATTGCTGTCTGTGGTTCAGGGCTGGTGACATGGCTACCGTGGTGACCCAAGCCCAGCTATCCCAGAACACAGCCTGGGAGACAGCTCAGATGTCACAGGCTTGGCTGAGGGGTGGGACAGGGCGGACAGAGGGTGGGCAGCAGGGGCCTGGCGGGGCGCCGAGGAGAGCAGTGACCAGTGCTTACAGCTGCTCTGTGAGGCTGAATCCACACGTCCCCTGCTGCTGTCTCCTCCATGAGACAGACGTGTCCACTGTCCTTCTGCCTAGATCTATGGTCACCACCAAGGACAGTTCCCAGAGAAGGAACCAGATGCCAGGGGTCCCCAGTGGACAGGCTCCAACAGCACCGAGGGCAGCAAGGATGAGGACCATGATTCCAAGTGCCATGGTGAGGCTGGGAGTGGCTGAGGGTCAGCTACAGACACACAGAGGGGCGGGGGCCCAGGGCCAGCAAGACAGCGGAGGTCCCACAGCACCCTGGTCCACACCAGGCCTGTCTGTATGATCAGAGCAGGCGTCTTGCTGCCCAGCAGGCCCACTTCCTGAGAAACAATCACTTGGGTAGGGTAATCCAGTGAGGACTTGGGTGGGGGTGGCTGTGGTCACAGAGGTGCAGAGGAGGGCAGGACTGGGCCTGCAGGACCCCCGTCACCCACGTGCTGCTGTCCCCAGCTTGTCTCCGCCGCCTCGGCCGCATGGTGCGCAGGAAGCTGGGGGAGGACTGGATCTTCCTGGTGCTGCTGGGGCTGCTGATGGCACTGGTCAGCTGGAGCATGGACTATGTCAGTGCCAAGAGCCTGCAGGGTAGGTGGGCCTCTCCTCTGGGGCCTTGCTAGATGGGCCGGAGAGGGCCTGGACCACCTCCGAGATCAAAGGTGTTTCCCACCCCTTCTCATGGAACCCTTAGGCACTGGCCACTCCTCTGGGGACTCACTTGGCCTGGTTTGACCAGAACTCCCCAAACCTAGTGATGCAGGGGCCAAAGCGCTTAGCTGGTAGCTGAAGGGTCAGCAGTTCGAACCCAGCAGGTCCTCAGAGGGAGAACGAGGTGGTCTGCTTGTCAGGATGCCAGTCCTGGAGCCCTGCGGGCTGTACCGCTCTGGCCTGGCCCTGCTGTGAGGCACAGCCGACTCAATGGCAGTGCTTTGCCGTGGCTTTGAATACAGCCCCTGGACGAAGGGCCTGGGGACCCACTTCTGGGGACCCTTGGCAGCCTCTGGGACCGTCCAGTCCTGGTCCCTGTGACCCCTTTGCCTCAGGACCCAAGTGACTGGTCCCTGGGCCTCCAAGGACCTGTGTGTATCAAGTGAGGGTACAGCTGCCTCCCAGGAGCTGGGCATCTGCTCCTTCCTCATCTCGTCAGTGCCCACAAGCAAAATAAGGAGGGCTCCCCTCCCAGTGGACGGGTGGTGGAGGGTGTGCGCCTGGGGGTGTCATGGTGGGCGGCCCTGGCCCCTCTCTCCGCCTGTGTCTGCAGCCTACAAGTGGACCTACCGCCAGATGCAGCCCAGCCTCCCCCTGCAGTTCCTGGCCTGGGTCACCTTCCCCCTCACCCTCATCCTCTTCAGTGCTCTCTTCTGCCACCTCATCTCCCCACAGGCTGTCGGTGAGGCTGGGGTGGTCGGTGACCCTCAGCTGTGGCTTCTCTGCCTCCCACCCTCCCAGCCTCTGTCCCATGCTCTCCTCCTCGGCCTCCACTGCTTCGCACCGTTCCCACCTGCTCCCCTTCCCACTGGCCCTCCTCAGCCTCCAGTGACCTCTCTGATGTGTCCAGGCTCTGGCATCCCTGAGATGAAGACCATCCTCCGCGGTGTTGTGCTGAAGGAGTACCTCACGGTCAAGGCCTTCGTGGCCAAAGTGGTGGCGCTGACCGCCGGGCTGGGTAGCGGCATTCCCGTAGGCAAAGAGGTGGGTGGTCTGCAGGGATGACTTACCAGGGTCCAGCTGAGGGGCTTCGGCAAAAGGAAGGAGGGACAAAGACTGAAACAGGCTGTCAGACAGGACATGTGGCGGGGTGATCCAGCTCGCGCCTGGCCCAGTGACCCACGGCACTCTGGAGCTTTCTCTGGAGAGTGTCCTGGACACTGCCTGGAGGTCAGCGGCGTGCCCGGCCTCCACCCACTAGGTGGCAGTAACGGTCCCCACAGCTATGGTGACCAGAACAGGACACACACTGCCATGGACCCTGAGGGGACACTGTCTGGAGGCCCTGCCCAGTCTTTGTCCTGAAAAGACACACTTCCCTTGGTTCTGGGTTTCTGTCCCTTTGGCCCCACAGTTGAAGTCCACGACTGGCATGAGGCCCTAATCGGCTCTGGTCCTTGGGCTCCTGTGCCCGGCTGACCTCGCCCGCCCCAGGCCCCGTCCTGTCCCCTGCTCCTTTGCCCCCCGAAGCCTGGCTGCTCTTCCTCCTCACACTCCCACCTACTGCCCCATGGAGCCTATGGTCTGGTGCCCTTGGGGTGCCCAGGAAGGTGTGCCAAACAGCTAGCTACGTGAGCACAGGCCCCATCTCACAGCGCCAGAGGCGGGGTGTGGGCTCCCCTGAGGCTCTGAGGGAGGTGACTTCCCACCCCCTCCCAGCTCCTGGGGGTCCACGTGCAGCATCCATCACATCCTCATCTTCATCAAGGGCCGGCGCGTTGGGCTAGAACCCATCGTGACCACATCGCCTCAGCTCACGAGGCCAGAGTCCACTTCCAGGAAGGGTTGGGGGTCAGAGTGCATGGTGCCTTTTGATGGACACAGTTCACCCCAAAATCTGCATAGGCTTTCGTTCCAAGCCTCCTGCCGCCCACCCTGTCTGTCTGACCTTTCCGTCCTCCGTCCTCCGTCCCTCCACTCCTTTCTCAGCTACGGTCAGGGTACCACTTCCCCTCCTGCTGGGGACCCCACCAGAAACCTGGTTCAGGATGCTCAAGTGACCGACAAAGCCAGGGCTTCCTGGTCTCCATTCTCAGCCATGTCCCCATGTCTTCAGGGTTTGACTCGAATGACCCTGGGGGTCACTGCCTCCTGGTTTCTGTCCTGAGCCCGAGTCCTCTCGGGATGCGTCTCAGAACATCGGAGTGACCCTGGGGGCCAGCACCTCCTGGTCACTGCCCTCAGCCATGCTCCCATCTCTTCAGGGTCTAACTAGAGTGACCAGCATGTCCTGGTCTCCGTCCTCAGCCCGTGTCCCCTCTCTCTCCAGGGCCCCTTTGTGCATATCGCCAGCATCTGTGCGGCTGTCCTCAGCAAGTTCATGTCCGTGTTCTGCGGGGTCTACGAGGTAAGTCAGAGGGGAGTGTGCTGGGTCGCTGTGCATGGGGGTGCCTGGCTCCGCTGGCCAAGTGCTGAGGCAGCCCTGTGAGCGCCCCTCTGCGGCCTGCCACACCTGCCTGTGGTCACCTGTCAGCTCCCCCCTGTGCCCCACACCAGGCAGTCTGTGGTGCTCCTGTCCACCCCGTGCTGCCTGGACCTTAGCCCTAGTCTGTGCTGTGTGCTGCCCACTTGTCCCAGTGCTGGCCCTGACCTTGTCTGCGTACTGTCTCCTGCTCACCCTCTCTCACGCTGCCCATGGCCCCTGGCCCTCATCGGGGTACAGCAGTGTCTTGTCAAGAAGGCCCCTTGATCCTCCTTGACTGTGCTGTCCCTGTCCACCCCCGTGCCACCCTGGGGTCACTGACCCTTGTCTCCGCCATGCCTCTGCCCACCCCGCCCGCCCTCTGTTGCAGACTGTGCCTGGCCAGCTTGACCTCCTGGTGTCGGCCTGTGCAGTGGGCGTGGGATGCTGCTTTGCGGCTCCGCTAGGAGGCAAGTGTCCCTTCCTCCCAACCGGGGCCTCAGCAAAGGGGGGCATCGCTTTGGGGCTCAGCTTGGGGCCGGGTTGAACTAAGGGCCAGGCCCCTGAGACCCATCCTTGAGCCCAGCAGTGTTGGCCAAGGGAAGCCAGCTTGTGTTCTCATGGTCACTTCTGGCCATCGGTCCTTGGCCCCTCTGGGGACACTGAGCAGCTCCCCACCAGCTGGCCCTTACTTGCTCTCTGGGATTTCTTCCCATTTGGTTCTGGGCTGTAGGGGCACTTCTCGTTTGACCAAATCCCTGTTTCTTTTTGCCTTGGGGCTGGACAGCTCTGGCCAACGGGCTCCAGGACCACCCTGGCCCTCTGGACTTTGGGCTTTCTCATCCTGCCTACCCCTCCCCATACCCTCCTCCCTCCCCTCCCTTCCCTGCTGCCCTTCTCCTCCCCTCCCCTCTTCTCCCACCCCCTCCTGCCCCCTCCCCTCCACTCTCTATCTCCCCTCACTCCTCTGATGCCCTTCTCCCTCCCTGCTGTCTCTGTCTCCCCTCACTTCTCACTGGCCCCTCCCTCCCCACTGTCTCCCCCCACTCCCCACTGCCCCCTCCTCCCTGCTGTCTCTCTCTGTCTCCCCCCCAGTAGCAGCCGTACTATTACACGGACATCCTGACCGTGGGCTGTGCAGTGGGCGTTGGCTGTTGTTTTGGGACCCCACTTGGAGGCAAGTACTTTCCCCTCACAAAGCAGACCGTGCACCTGGCCTTGGCCCCAGACCACCTGTGAGTAACTAGTGTGAGGTGCCCATGAGGGCCGCCTCTTAGCGCGCGGACAGTGTCCAGCGGGGCCCATGACTGCTCATGGGTGGTCAGTGAGAAGTGTCCATGAGGGCTGCCTCCTGGCAAGCGGGCAGTGTCTGGCGGGGCACTCGGTCCTTCTGAAGGCCCAGGTGGGTGTTGCAGGTGCGAGGAGCTGTGTGGCCATTGGTGCCTTGCTCGCAGAGGCTGGACGCAGCCCGTGGCCCTGCTTGCTCAGGACCAGTGATACTGCTTCCTGCACTGGGGCGTCTGCGGCCTCTGAACTGTTGTCTCCAAGGTGCACAACATTTGTGGTGTTTGGTGAGGAAGTGGGGTGTAGGCAGAGATAAAGGGGGTTACCTGTCACGAGGTGCAGAGTAAGAAAATCTGTTACACACAACTGTGTGTAGGAGCTCTGGTGGCTCAGTATGGTGCACATTGGACTGCTTTCCAAAAGGTCAGGGGTTCGAATCCCCCAGCCACTCCTCAGGGAAATATGGGCAACTCCTCCTATAAACAGCCATGGACACCCACTGGAGAGTCAGCACGAGTCATAACTGACCCGTTGACTATGGCTGGTTTGGAGCAGGAGTCAGGGCTCCTGAGGGTGCAACTCAACTGTTGACAGAAAGGTCAGCAGTTCAAGGCCACCCAGAGGTGCCTCAGGAGAAAGGCCTGGCCATCTGTCCAGTTCCCTCTGACGTGTACGAGGTTTCAGGGAGTACAGACTTGAGACCCCAGTGACAGCGCAAACCTGATCTTACTCATGGCGGATCCGTCTGTGGAATCCTCAGAGCCATGGCTGGTATTGTTGATGCAGGCCAGTGGTCAGTGGAGGAGGGGCTCAAGGGATCACTCACTGGGCCATGGGACTGGAGGGCTGTCATGCCCACAGCCACAGAGAGAGCGGGGAGGGGGGGAGCGGGGGGTGCACACTTCGTTCTGCTGTGTGAGTCCCCAGGATTTTCCTGGGGTCACAGGGCAATGGGAATGTGTCTGCCAATGGGGACCTGGTCCGTCCGTCCAAATGATCTGCCCTCTGGCCTTGATCCCCATGTCCGCACTTGGGCTTCTCTGTCCTTGACCCTTGATCGCTGTGTCTGCACTTGGGTTTGTCTGTCCTTGACCCTCGATCCCCGTGTCCGCACTTGGGTTTGTCTGTCCTTGACCCTCGATCCCCGTGTC